GTGGGTCGTAATAACGCATTGTTGCTTTGCTGCCGATCCCATTAACAATTGTCAAGTATCGAAATCGATGTAATTATAAGTACACAAATGGCTGCATTCAAGCGAAACAAAACTGAGACCTAGATAGAGCACTACGAATGTATTTAAGCCGAGTTATAAGCCAACAGTTTAAAAAATTTTATATTAGACATGTAATGGCACAATTGAAATTTATAAGCTATTAAATACAAGCCTATTTAGGAACAATGCTCAAAAGTCGATTTAAACTCGAGCTCAGACCGTTATTGATTGAATTCCAATATTTAGACCCAAATCTGAATTTAATCTGTTCTTTAGATTACATTTACACTTGGGACGTTTTTAATAAGGGCCTCTTCGAACTGTGTTAAAGATGATTAAAGCCAGCTCTATATTAAAACTGGGTTTTACGATGTCACCAAGTAGGTATAAAAATTCACAGTTGCAAATTTTCCTGTCTGCATATAAACACATATTTCCTATAATAAATGTTATTGCTAATTCCCCGACCGTCCTTGATTCATACAATAAACATTGTAGTAAATAACAGTGATCATAACAAATTTACCTTGTCAATCACTGTAAACAATAAAATATACTAGTAACTTATAAAACTGTATAGCGAGTTATTCAAAGTGAGGTAAGCCTGTAACTAGGTGGTTTGAATCGTTGCCACCTTTGCACAAGAAGTGTAACTGATATGCAAAACATGGACATTGGACAACAACAGAGGTCTGTTGGTACTCGTCTCACGTACGTGCTGTCAACTTTCGCAACACTGCCTCAGAACTGAACAGTAACTAGCCCCGAAGGCTAAAACACCCATTTGATGGTACTTACACTCACATCCCGGTAAGGGATTAAAAACAAGATGTTATTTTTCCTATGTACATTTTCCGTAGAATTTTTTCTTCGATTTAACCTTAGTTTTAAAATCTTTGTCGAAACCTACTGAATGTTCTCTCCCAATATAGGGTAAACCAGAGAGTGATTGCCCACTGGTAGTGATTGCCCGCTTTAAGAATAATATTGTCAGGTGCTGACTTTGAATCACTCTAGTTAGATTTGAATTTACTAAGTAGATGGCTCCGAGATCAATGTACAGTAGATTTAAAATTTACAATAGGAAACACTAAAAAAAACTGTTATGGCGGATTTTGTCAAGACGGGTGAAAATGTTACTCAAACAGGTAAAAACTTTAACAATTTTACTAAGGAATGACTTGCTTAGAGGTTAAATTTTTTTTTCAAGTTATTTAATATTCAACTAATGGTGTATAGTCATGATGAAATTATAAGTGTTTTCTCCATTATCAATGAAAATAACTGATAAAATTTGATTTCTAACGGTCATTTTAACGGTGGGTAATCACTGCACGTAAATCTGTATATTTTTAGTTATTGCCCACCATCATTTCAGTTATTGCCATATGTTAATGTATAGTTATTGCCCAGGGCAATTATTATTAGAGTGTTGCCACCATGCAGTAGCAGTGTTTAAGTTGCTCATTGCTAGACTTGTTTTGCAATTTACAGGCATAAATATTGAAATGGCTTTTAATGTTTCATTTTCAGTATGCCAAAGACTCCAAAAGTTCAATATAGCATAGAAAATTTGCAAAAAGCGATCGAAGCTGTACAAGATGTATCCAACAATTTATCTACAAGATAAATTGCTGAAAAATATGGTTTGGCTTGAAAAAATTGATAAAAATTCAAACGCAAATACAAAAAATGAAAATCCTACGTTAAATCTACTAGTGAAAATGTTAATTGTAAGGAAATAGATACAACTTTAGGGAAGAATAACCAACAGCTAATTGAACATTCTGAGCAACCACTTGAACTGATATCAAAAAAGATAAAAAAATAAATACATATAAAATTTACAAATAAAATTCAAATTTTTTCGTCATCTATGTTTTGAAGTAGATGATTCTGTCTACCGATTCTGACTCATCAACATCAGCTCAAGAAATATTTGATAATATGTTAATAAGGCCAAACGCAATTTATTTTGAAATTTTGAAGACTGTACTACTAGAATTTAAGTTTAATGTTTTGTTTTGTTTATTTAAAGCCTATTTTGTCATTTTAAAATTGATTATTTTGTTTTAAGATACTGGGCAATTACTGTGCTTTGATGTGGGCAATTAGTGTAAGTAATGGGCAATGACTGTACTTTTTGGAGGATTTTAAATTTATTTCAATATTTTCTAAGTTACGTAAGTTTTAACTAAAAACTGTTAATATTCTGTTTAACAGTTTATTGAGTTATAAGAAAAAAGTCATAAATGGTCGATAATTAAAATACTTTCTTTAATTTTTCATCTCAATGTGTTTGAAATCTTTAAGTGGGCAATAGCTATACGGTTTACCCTAACATTTTTTTATTTTTGGATTGCAATTGCATCCAATGCATTCATGTACGCCGTGCATTGTAGGTACGGAAACGCGGATTTGAAATCACGATTGTTCTCACCACATTTCATTGATTGTGCTTTCTTTACCGAAGTTATCTTTCGAAAGTCTTTAACCTCCTTCATAACGCATACTTTAACAAAATAACTGTCGATGTTGTCAAATTTTGACACTAATTTCTGTACATGATTTATATGCTTGATTTCTACACAACTACATGCTTATTACTGCCTAATAGTTAATTATTCAAGATTTCTAAATTTTCTACTATTCGTGTATGTAGGCAATGCCCTATTACATATTCTAGCTTCAGGTACAGTCACGAAGCGAACAACAGTGCGCTTACGCAACGTAGTGGGGACACCAAGGTTTCGCGGGTCATACGTCCTTTATCATCCTTATTTTGGTTAGCCATTCACTCGTGAATTTCACCTTGCGCATACTTGTGTTGTGGTAAATAGGTAAGGCCGCATACGCATCGCTTATGCAGCCACTCGGATAAATATTATGTGCACGTAATTAAAACAAATCTTCCAACGCTTAAATTACTGTTGTAATGAAGGTACGATTTCGTTACAGCAGTCTTTTTGACTTTGTTAGGCTAATTCTGTGCCACAATTTACAACGCTTCCAACCCGATTGCAAAACTGTAACAGTTTTACAGTACCTATCTACGACATTGTTGCGGTTCTCTTTCACGCGACCGAGTTTTAACACGGCTTGACACATTGTAAGTGATAACGGTATTGATTTTTACTGCAACTATTTTGGTCGGGAAAAGACAACTTTTCCCTGAACAACTTCGTATCAGCTGATCTTTCTTCTTTTCCTGCTGACGAGCAATCAAATTCAGTCAATTAATCAATAGTAAGTGATCCTCTTTTTTCCTTCTGTCTCTATCCTTCAGTTGTATTTCATTGGAACTTAATTTCAAAATAACGTGTATCACGATCGTTTTAGCATCTTATCATTATCATCCTTGACTTACTCTGGGCGTTACCCGCGATGTTGTTAATTAATTGTCTCAAATTACGGTAACATCGGGCGTGACCGATTATAAATCTATATTTACATTTATAATAATGCCTTCGTTACGGCTAATTAAGACTGAATTATCTTTACTTTAAACCAGAAATGAAGGTTTATCCGGATGGCTTCAGAATTTAATACAGGTTATTATTTACAATATCCACTGTGAAGTCTGTGTATGTATAACACTAACTAATGATTCCATGCCACACATTGTACCAACAAAAAGAAACATGTAATCTCTATGTGGGGTAATTTCCAATGAAATGTCAATATTCCTGCGATTTCCAGAAAGATCCGGGAGTCATGCAAAAGCTCCGCATCAAAGCATCAGTAGTAATTTCCTTGGACGCCCCACGAACGATATTCGTCAGTTTTTTGCCGGATGCAGACAGAAATAGAGCAATTTGTCGGTCCCTCAGCGACCCGACTAGGTATATCTCCAATTCTTCAACAAACACAGATTTTCTATTCTACGGATTACCTGAAAAGGTCTATATTAAGTATGTCGAAACTCCAAGTTCTCCTTGATTTATTATTAACAGCGTAATTACGGCCAGTATCGTCGTAATTTTATTTGTACTGACATTTTCATGATAGCTATTGTACCTCGCCTCGCTTGTTCGATAATCCGTTGTTGCTAGGAACATTTAGAAAATTGTGGATGGGTTTTGTATGTCAAGGGCTAGTGATATATTGAGGAAGATTTTTAATACCTTCATCCGATCTGAATTGTTATTATATCTCCTATGATCTATCGAAAATATTCAGGTTTATGTTAATGTTTATATTCGTAGAGCATGCTTTGTTCTTGGGTCGGCCGTTTCTCTCGCGCTCGTCTCCGTAAAGCAAACGGTTTGCTCTTGACGTTCGATATCGGGATGGTTTATGGGCAATGTCGTAAGTACGTGCTTCGCCTGGAGAATGCAAGACGAGTGTTATAGCATTTTATAGTCGTAGAAGAATAAAAAGTCTTAACCTAGATTCTGGATCGTTGAATCAGCTGCGTCAAAGTTTGTTTATGAGGCACATTTTTTTCTAAAATATTTTGTTTTTTGGTACTGTTGTAGATGGAGTTTTGGAAAACATGGTCTGTTTTGAATTTTGATGGCAATAATTTGCAGGAAGAATTAAATTATAATGGTCTTAAAATTTCCAAAAAATTTTTGAGGTTATTTTACACTTTTCCCAGGTGTTTTAAGATTTCAATATTTGGAGGGAGATGCCTGATAAATTCAAGAATTAAGGAGAACCTTATCATTTCGCTGTCTTTCGGATCCCTAATACGTCAGAAGCCATTAGGCATGTTCTACAAGAAAAAAATATTGGATCTGCGTCGCGGAAACCTTTCATGTCATGATGAATTTCGTCAGATTACGTCGTCTCGTTGGGCTGAGTTGAGAAGCGCAGGGTACATTATCATAGGGTGGGTCGGGCAGGCACATGGCGTGGAGCGGGGGCGGGCGCCGCGGCGCTGGCGGTGGCGGCGCGGCCAGACGTCAGTTCCAACTCGAGCGACACGCCGACCGAGCGCCGACGCGCGCCTCTACCGTGATCGCGGCTCGCGAACATAACCTCATGTACACAACGCTCGCGCCGCACGCTACATAGCAACCCCTGGGATACGTACGTATCCCAATCGACCTCGTACTCCACACAAAAAATCCATCGACCCTAACCTAACACTGACGCCATAACAACCCTTATTCACTTCACTCGCAGTCGCTCCCTCTAATTATTGACTCCCCTAAACTTTGTTGAAAAATCCGTTCGCTCTCAATTCGCTTTTATTGCTGTAATATTTTTATTACTCTCTCGCTCACACAGCGAACAATTCCTCTCGGCGATAGCCGTCAGAGCTTCCTCCTTCTATTTCCTCGATTGATTTAATTAAGATATAAAGGCGACAATTATTTTTTTCCTAGATTTCATTAGCCGGAAAGCTTCTCTTTGGAGGCTGTTAGAAGTGAGACTGTGTTGCGAAACGGTTTTGTCGTCACCGTTAACTGTAATCGGGTCAATTAAGGCGCGCTGAACCATGACACTGCGTTGACATTGACGTATTCGGTTTCCCTCGTGTGAACAGTGGATGTGACAGTGCGGTTTTTCGTGGCCGGCGTGGTAGGAGGTGCATGGTGGCATAAAGCCCGCCGCAGCGGATGTGCACACCGCTGCAGACCTGGTGGTTCGTGCCGGCTGGAATGCCAGCTGCTCTTGACCTAACTAGGTACGTTTACACGCTAATCTATCTCGGGCACACATCAACACGCAACCCATAATGATTGCCCCGGCAAAACGCAATACCCCGACCCCAGCTGTTCAACGACAAACATTGATTTTTTAATGACCATTAAATCGTGGACTCCGACGAATGTTTCCTTCTTAGGCTACATTATTATTATATGGTTAGATTATCTACTACTTATGTAAATTTAGCTAATGAGGAAATATTCCACTGAGTATGTATACTTATTACGTCATTCACTGCTTTAATATAACAAACAATATTTACATCGATAAACAATTATTGAGACATGAAATGTTTGATTTACGAATTGTAACTAAGTGCACGTAGCTTTTTAGTTTATCATATCGTACGTGATAGAAATCTAAATAACATTACCAAAGACGTTTAAAACCACACGAACATCAATCTACAATTAGCCATAGAAAACAGAATCTGAAGTTGTTTATAGATGACGTAATAGTTACTGATAACACAATTAACGCATGTGCCACCGATAAAGCGTTTCTAGATGCTGTGTGTGGTTAATTTACGAATGCCAAAGCGTTGAAAAGTGTTTCCAGCGAAACCATTGTTGATGGTTCGATCGTTATATCATTAACAAACATTTGTGTTGAGCGGCCGATGCGATAACAATAACAAATGCTTATGATTTCATTTTGTTATGAAAGAAAGCGATAATAAACTATGGCATTACTAAAGCATAATATTGCATTCGAATGCGTGATGATGTTATGTCAAAGCAAAACAATATTGAAGCTGCACCAGTACGTGCCAGATTGACCATTAAGCAATTACTCTCGATACATTTTCCATGAACTATTTTAAAAATACATCCAGCCAAATTTTTAAATCCATCACGTTCAACGTTAGCAAAAAATATTCGTTGATAGCTTCATCGATTACTATATTAATATCACGTCTCTATTCAGTTACTGAATTATGTATTCTAACTGCGATAAAAACGTGCTGGTATGAATTTTGATCATGCGCAAGTAATATATGACTGGTTATTATTATCCTTGTCACCTTTGGCAGATTAAATCACTTGGGCCGAACCGAAAGGAGTTTAGTCGCCGACCAAACTCTAGTAACCGTGTAACGTTTACTGGGTGTTTATATTCAGCGTACCACCCGCGTCGTCGACGCGGCCTCGCGACGAAATCGGAGATGCCTTGCTGGTGGCACTGGCAACACATTCATGGATTAGCTACAATACACCGCACACTCGACTGTTGTACGACCACCAGCTGAATTTGTGACAATTTTTATCTTTATACAGTTCCAAGACAAATAGTTGTGGCTGTAACCTGTCTCCTCCGAGCACCGCTGGCGCTCTACAGCGGCAATCTATCTCCGCTCCCGCAGGAGTTGTCGCGTCCCGACTGTAGTCCCAATCGCGATGTTACAAAAATATAGCAGTTTCTCGGCGCCCATGTTGTACAATATTGTCAATATAGCTTCCAAACTAAAAATGTTGCTCCGCAGTCACTATATTGGCTAATGGCTACCTTTCGCTGTCTAGATTATTGTTATTGCTTGCCTTATCGGCGCCATGTAGCTATAACATCTGACTTTTATTGGAAGCTATATACCCAACAATGTGTTCCGTAACGCGCATTGTTCAGATAACAGTAATAAATCTAGGAAATTGCTTTATCATACAGGACCCAATACATAGGAGTCGTTTATAAATACGTGACTCTATCCCTGAAGGCATTTTTTATCGACTAACAGTTCATAATCCAAATAAAGGGAGTTTAATTTAAAACTTTATGCTCCGTAAAGCAAATGATTCCATGTAATGTGTTCTAAAAAAAATAAAGTAATTTGCGTGGAAAGGGAAAAATTTCTACATTTTTTGTTCATCAGCAAAAACAGAAGAAAAGTTAAAACCTGATTCATATATTGCGTGGCATGTTTTCAAATTACAAGCCAATTCCAAAGAGCAAAGTCGATGTTAAAACAAAATAGATTTTGCTTTATTTCTTTTGTTTGCTAAAAAAAGTTATCTGTCCTTATTATGGTAGACCATCTACATTATGTTAATCTGCTGGATCGTTTTCAAGAAAAATTGTATCACTGGAATAATGCTGATTGCTGACCAAATCTGCAATTGCAACCGCAAATTGGTCGAATCATGCTATTAATATGCTATAGTCCGTATCTACTTCGTTATCCACCCTATTGAACAAAGTTGGTCCCCTGCAACGTGTATTTCTTACCAAACATCAAGTATTTCTAATAAAATAAGTTTAAGTACTTCTTGATAACAGGGATACTGATTTGGAAATGTTGTACATAGTTTTGGAATTGTTATTATGCCTGAAACTTTGCTAGGAAGTGTATTTAAAGTTGATAACGTGAAAATATAAACTTGTAAAGTATTATCGAGTAGGCCGTGTACAAAACTGGATCAATTCCATTTTAATAGGTAATTTGGTACAACATTACAGTGAACCTTTACGATACTTTCTTTTCTAGCAATTGTTCGATAAGCTTTATAATTTACTACGGTCTCGTGTTGTAAGAACACGCAACTTTTATTGGGGTCCGGCACCCATTGTAGCGAGATAATCTACTTTTTGATTGAGTAATCGCTTGAAAAATTTAATATAGCGTAATTTTGATGCCTTTATTTCCCTTTTCTAAAGAAACTTTCGTGTCTTAGGTAAACCTTAGAAATTAAATTAGTCCTCAATGACCTTGGGCGTTTGACCTTCACGCCGCGAGCAACACCCGCGTACCCCGCACCAAAAACTCCGATTTGACACCGATCAAAAATACACGGGCATAGGTAGATACAGAATAGAAGCTCTTTCTTCATACATTACTGCCTATTATTTTAAAATTAAATTGATGAACCTTGATGTCGGTGTCATTTAACTCAGGCGTAAAGGTATTTAATAAAAATAACAAAATCCATGAACATTTTGTACGGGATAAAATTTTATTTTATTTTTCGTAAATTTTCTAATGCTTTTGTCGGTTCAGTCGTTCTCGAAATTTGAACAAACCCGACTTTATTACAAGCTTTTATTTAGCTTGCAATTTATGATGTATGTAGGTAATTACATAAATGTTTGTTCGGGTGGAATCTTGCAAGCTGAATTAGTTAGACCAACTTCCTGACGACAACTAGGCTAGATGACAAAATTTCAATTATTTGTCCGTCTGACTGCACGTACTCTATGAACAATTCTGACATAAAATCTATTGTCGAACAAAAGCTGGGTTGCACCATCTTACTTCAACTTTGACAAGCGTCAAAAGTCTGTCTAACTCCATACAAAAAACACCGGTTATCGCCAAAGCTACGGTCAAAGTTAGGTCACGTCAGGTGGTGCAACTTAGCCAAAGAAAAAATTCATTTTGATCGCTAATGTCAGTTTGTAGCGAGTGACACAACCTCCCCGTCTGAAGGCCAGCGGCCGACTGCCGCCCGCACCCCGCGAAGGCCCCCTCAACAGCAAAACGTTCGGAATTTATCAAAAGTAAAATTTATGAATGAAAGTAATGTTCGATTGAAAAACGCAACGTGTCATTTAAAGATTAAAGAATTCCCAATCTATTCGTGCAAAAATCTTTTAAATTAACATAGCCGTTTTGGAGGAGTAGGGAATTTAAGTAAAAAATCGATGTCCCGTATTTATTTTTTTAATCCAAAACAAAGAGACTTAGCGAAAATTCAAACGTCACAAATGTAGTCCTTGAACTGTTGTATAACATATATTTTTTTCAACTATTTCTGTCTAGCAGTAAAAGAGGAGTAGGCTTTACAAAATGCCCATTTGGCGCGGATTGAGGACACTAATCGCCTTAAGATAACGTAGATGAGCCTTACTTAGGGATCTTTCGCGATTGGTTTATGTTGTTTGAGTGTGTTTCTTCGAGCTATGGTCAATAAAATTGGTCGTTCGCATCGTAATAGGATACTATAACGTTATGTTTAAGTGGATGTCATTGGCAGCGTCGTAGTTTTAAATAATCACGTGTAATTAGCATGAAACTGTCATTTTATTCAATGGACTGGTTTGAAAAAATGTTAATATGTGGTTTAGCGTTTATATTAAGCGTGCCTAAAGGAGCGGCGTCCGAGCGTCCCGTTTCCTCGAAGCGACATTTTATCAGAGTTCAGTGTACCGGCGTGAGTCGTAAACATGTGGGGGAGTGTCAGTCGCTCGTCAGCATCGGACTATGAATGCCCGACTCACTGAGGGCCGTGTGTCGCCAAGCTTGAAGCTTCACTCTCATCTATGAGCTGAAATTTTGTAGCTTATTAAAATCAAATAGGTTGAAGATTTCAAAATGAAAATGTTTCCATAATTCACTCTGTCAAATAATTTTCATGTCTCTTCGGACTATTTTCTCAAATTCTATAAAAAGTTACAATTGGTTGGTTAACAAAAGGTACCACTCACTAAATGTATCATTCAATCGTAATTCAAAAATCCAAATCACTAATAAAGTAACTATTAAAGCTTTAAAAATTAAGTGGGTAATTTAAATGCTATAAAACTGGTCAAATTAACTATTAACCACTTAACTTGTTATTTTGATACAACAAAGTAGATCAATGAATTAAGTGTTCCTATATGTGAACACGAATACGTATTTGTATTATTTGTAAAGTAGTCATTTGTGGCTATTTAAAAAGCATCAAGTGAAGGGAACATACTTTTATTCACAAATAAATGTTCCTATCCTTGTACATTATTTGAAATCACTTGTTCGTTTTTGGAAAATCTACGAACCAATACTTTCCTTACCGTATAAGTATGTAATAAAATCTTATTATTTTCTAAAATTGTCATACGAATTCTTAAACTTCGCAAAGAATTGTTAAACTCATAAAAACAAGAACGGAAAGCAACACTGTTTTTTAACTTTGTAAAATATGTATATTACATCACTCGCTTCCAATTTCCATTCTCTAGCGGGTAAAATATACCGGAAGAAAATATTTGCTGGGAGTCTCTCGC